GTCACACCCACGAACAGCATCCCCAAAAATGGACGGGCCTATGTTCGTTTTTGGTGGTAACGAAGAGGAGATAAACACCCCAAAAAAGTGCCGAGACACCACGAGCCCGATGGGCAACAACCTGGAGCCGAGAAGAAGCAACGGGTCCAAATGAGCGCTTCAGCCCTAGCTGAGGAACTGTGGAAAAATGCTGGACGAGATGATCCGTTAATTCACGCATGATCAAGATTGGATTGGTCGTCCGCTGCATAAGGGAGAAGATCAAGCCAAGGCGATGCTAAAAATGCATGGACTATGGGCACACCTCCACCAGATGCCGAGTCTAGGATGGAGTCGCCAAATCCACGCAGGAAGCGTGCTACAGGTGCCGAGAAGAAGGCCACAAGCACACCAAGTGCACCCGAAGCATGACAAAATGCATTCTTTGCTCCAGAGGAGGCAAATCAGGGAGAGAGGTTGAGCACTCGACTCTGAGCAGGATGTGCCCAGAGTACCGGAAGGCCATGAACAAGTTGCAGAATAATCAAGTTCCTTCAGCTTAACCTGAGCGACTGCAGAGCGGCACAAGACCTGCTCTCGCAGACGGTGATGGGCCAGCGCGTAGACATAGCAATCATCAGCGAGCCGTACAAGGCAAAACCAGAAGATGTCTGGCAACAGAGCAGAGATGCTGGCGCAGCCATATGGAGTTGTGGGCAGCACCCAAAATACATAACGCAAAAGGCGTCCAGGGCTGGCTACGCCATGGCTGGTACATTGCGAGCATGTAAACGTTTTCAGGGACATAGTGCACGAAATCGGCTAGGACGCGCGTGGAAAGACTCCTTTCCTAATTAAAAATGACTTTGAGGCCTGGTCATCTGCATGCGCCAGCGATAAATCGACGCTGCGAGGAACCATACTGCTCGGTGCCATGGCATCTTAAGCAAGACTGGAGTCAATGATCGACCTGACCCTTACTCGCCCCGAGCTGGCAGGAAACTGCACCTGGACAGTCGGACCTGTACACCCATAGCGACCACTCAGCGATCCTCACCGAGACTGAGAACAGCTCCCCCGCTCCAACTAGCCCGCAAACGATGTACAGAGTTCACACTCTGAACGTCGATGTGCTTGTATCCCGAATGGCCGATACCAGCAGAAAAGGCGACGCAAATACCTGCGCCGCGAGGGTAGCGCCCAAGGTTAAATCCGCCTGCGATGCAGCGATGGAAAAGGCTTCGAGAGGCGTGAGGGAGAGGGTGCCATGATGGAACGAGAGGATAGTCACGGCCAGGAGAGAGTGCTTGTCTGCCAGGCGCATAAGCCAGAGATGGAGAGGTCGCCCTACCCAGCAGCTAAGTGAAACACATTACAGAGCAAAGAAAAGGGCACTGAAGGATGCCATAATAGCAAGCAAGGCCAGGTGCTTCCAGGAACTGTGCGATACGGCGGATTTTAAACTATTTGGGTCAGCTTACTGGATGGTCATGGGTTTCCCGCGCAGTCCCCACGAGTACCACCTCGCGTGGAAACAAGAGGAACTGTGCTAACCAGCGAAGCGGAAATTCTGAGCGTCCTAGCCACCATGAAGAAAACCAAAGCCCCTGATCCAGGTGCAATTCCCAACGCTGCACTGCATGCCATTGATACATCCCACACGAGCCTCTTCGTTCAGATGTACAACACGGGCCCGAAGCGGAAAGACTCATGCCTAAAAAATGTTCGCTTAATTGCTTAGAAAAATCAGAACTACAATGCTGAATACCTCAATATGTTGCGCAATTCTAAAATAGTTGGCGACGACAGTGAGTACCTAAACGCAAGAAAAAAAATTGGCGCCCTGCTTATTAGACTACATCTTTCAAAAATTGCTAAGCGCTTTTCTCAAAAACTGGGTATTTTTTTCTTGAAACTTGTCTCACATTTACTTAAATCAGACCCCCTTTATGTTGATATACCCGGTATATCTGCATAAATTATTCAAATACTGCAATTCGCAATTTAAGTTTTGCTAACTTTTTTCTATGGACCGAGCCTGTTTGTTAGTCACTGTTTAGCGATTTTGTCAAAAACATATTTTTTATGAATGTTTTTCGTCATGAATCTTGACATTTTGCTTTATCTTGTGGTATAGCCCGTATATGCGTACAATATATGCGGTTGGAAATTTCAAGAAATGTGAAACACCGATTTCAACAGAGCACATCAACCCTCCACCTTCCGATTTCAGCTGATCTTAACAGGTCAGTCAACAGGTCAACCATTTTTTTAGATGTGCTCTGTAGAAACTGGAGTTTCACTTTTTTTCAAAACTCCTAACGGTTTTTCAGGGATGGAATGGAAAGTAGGTTGCACCGCAGAAACACCGCAGGCTAACTATCGCATAAATTAGTCCGTCAAAGTCCGTCAAGTTTTGGGAAGGTTTTAGGAACGGCAAAACATTATGGACCATCCCGTCAACGGATGGTGGAGAAATACCCTATAAGACATTTCAAAAAAAGTTTTGGACCAATTTTTCAAATGCATTTTTTCCATATTCCAATATTGGTCGAACATTAGTTTAAACGACTCGTTTTTATTTTCATAACATGATTGCATATTATTTTTTCAAACGGTTCCGTGTTCGATATTCCACCATTCTGCAAATAGTAATATTAAGATTACAAGCGCTAGGGATGGTGACAAGGTGTGAAACAAGGCTTATGTTGGCACGATAAAATCAAAGTTAAGGCTGTACCACCGACAAGACACAAGTCCCGATCGTTTTCAAATTTTCAGAATCCGTATATTTTGGGGTCCTGATTAAAAATAAAAAGGCAACAAAGACATATATTTTAAGAATTAACGGTAAAACCGATATTTTTTGTGCTACGTCCATATGTTTTGCAAGTAGTACCTTAATCAAAAAATACATCCAAATAAAAGTCAGATTGTCTAATTGACAACAGGTTGTTTTTTTACAGTAATTTTAAACGAGTTCCGAAATAATCGTCCGTTCAGGAAAAATCCCCTAGATAGGGATAAGCAAACTTGCATAACGTTTAACGACTGATTATCGCCTTCCTGAATGTTATCTAAATATTAACGGTTTAAGACTGCAAGCAAAATTAAAAGTTTTCTTCCACAATAATTGCGCCATTTTTGTTTAAACATATTTTTGCCTGCGTCCCTTTTTTCCTTTCGTCCATTCCTTCTCTAATTCACTCCCTTGACTATATCTGCAAGAAAAAAACGGAACCAAATACAAAAAAAAATAAATAGTGTTAAACAAAACTACCAAAACGTATGTAACTGGAAATAAAAATTATACAACAAAACAAAAAACAATAATATAATCAACATTAAAATTTCAAAAGCTATAAAGTTAATTTAATTATTATTAATTATTTATAATTACAAAATTAAAAAGGTTACATGTTTATAAATTATATTTAAATATTTTTATTGTTCCTATGGGAGCTTTATGTTATAGTCGTCCGATTTTGATTATAATTAATCCGCTATTCTGAAATGTTTAACCATTACTATCTCGAAGAACTACAAAAAATTAAACAAGAAAGAACGCAAACTTCGGCAGGTCGAAGTTCATATATATATATATATATAATACATTTATATTGCTAGATTTAAATACTTTTGAAAACATTATGATTTGCTTGCGTATATGTTGAAAAACATTGAAGCTATGATGATGTGCAGCTCACCTATTATATAATTATTTTAAATATATTTCTATTGTTTCTATGGGAGCTATGTGATATGGTCTAAAATATTTAACCATCACTATATATCGAAGAACTAAAACAATATTACAAAACAGCAAAGTTATAATTTTTTTTATTTATTTTTATGATTGTTCCTTTGGGAGCTATATGCTATAGACGTCCGATTTTGATGAAATTTAAAAAGTAATTCTGAAATATTTAATCATTACTATATGTCAAAGAACTAATTAAAATTAAAAAACGGCAAATTTATAATTTTTATGGTAGTTTTTTTCCGATTGTTCCTATGGGAGCTATATGATATAGTCGTCCGATTTTGATGAAATTTAAAATGTAATTCTAAAATATTTAACCATTACTATAGGTCGATGAAATAAAAAAAAATTAAAAACAACAAAGCTATAATTTTTTTTAATTTGCCTTTTCGATTGTTCCTATGGGAGCTATATGCTATAAGCGTCCGATCCGACTCGTTCCGACTTATATACTACCTGCAATGAAAAGTTTCATGCAGATAGCTTTAAAACTGAGACACTAGTGTGCGGATGGACAGACGGACGGGCAGACGGACGGACAGTCCGATATGGCTAGATCGACTCGCCTAGTGATGCTGACTATATACTTTATGGGGTCGGAAATGTCTCCTTCACTGCGTTCCAAACTTCTGACTGAAATTATACTGCCCTCTGCAAGGGTTTAAAAAGGTTGTGTTATTCGAGTGTTTATGTCAGACAAGAGATACAATTTTATCAAACGTTAGATTTGCGAAAACTTCAAGATGAACAACTAAGCGATAGTTATTAAAACACCGATAAAAGTTTGGTGATGCCAACCCGGTCCAATTAATTGTGCGCTCATTTTAACATGACGATTTGAAGTCAAACGTTTTCTGCTTTTCTGTAGTAACCTATCAACATTACATAAAAAAAGTCAATAAACATGAACTGAGTACTAAATTTCAAACGTTTATTTAAAAGTATTTTTAAAAAAGTTCATATAGAATTTGTTGACGAAATACAAAGAAAATAACGGCTTTTAACGTTATATTCCAAGAAATCGGTCTTGTCGCAAACGTTGACCTATATATTCGTAAACAGGACCATAAACTACATTGATTCTAAAATTTGGAAACAATCGGGCCATGGGACTTTTCAAGATAGGCAACTTGTGTCTGTTCAATTGCCCGAACTTAACTTCCCTATGTTCATTTTTTCGAAATTCCACTTTTGACAATGAATTACTGACGCTATCTTCACACCCATGACTTATTGGTATAAACGGACTAGCCGCTGGAACACGTCTGTTCAAATTACGTTTTTATATCAATTTAATTTCTGTTACACACTTTATTACAAAAGTAAAAAAAAAATGTCCTCTAATGTTTTTATAGAAGATCAAATGGGTAGACGTTTGGACCGTTGTGTTTCAGACGCGTTAATTAAAGGATGTGAGTAAAGGCAATTACATAACCGCTATTCTTTTCCTTCACTTAAATTGCTTTCAGATAAAAAAAGTTGCTTTGAATTTACAGTGGCTTACATATTCTATACTCCTATTAAACCTTCTATGTATGAACACAACATTTTTTCGGACTCCCGAGAATTTTGACTAAATTCATTAATAATACAACCAAAACGGAACTTAACCCAGATTATACAAAAATTTAACATTTTATTGTGAAGATTAACATTAACCAAAAAGATAAGGAAGTTTTAACTTTGACAAACAGTGACGAACTTAATTATTGGCACTGTCGGCATGTTTGACTTTAACGTATGTACATGCATATGTAGCTTTTCTCTACTAAAAACTAAGACATATGTACATACATATGTACATTTTTTATATACATATGTACATATATCGATACATTGACAAAAAAACCAACGTGTATTATTTTTAGTAATTATAAAAATTAAAATTATAAAAAACACCTGATTTTCTTTGAACAATATAGGAACACTTATGTAGGTAAAACTATTTTTTCGAAATTTCATTGATCTGGCTACATTTTTCTTGAAAAGCCCCGTCTTCTTTATTTTCGGAAATATATAGCGTGGCTACATACATATATATTTTAAAGCTAAAAACCAAGCAGAATTGATAAGATTTTAACAAAATGAGCGGCAAACAAAAGGAAACCACTGAATCTCAACGGAAAATAATTTTATATTTGCATGATCAAGGTAAATTATATGCTGATATTGGGGAAGATTTGGTTAGAAGCCGTTTTACCATTCGAAGTATTGCCCAGCGTTTTAATGGAGCCTCTGCTTAACAGAAATTAAAATAAAAACCGAAAGGTTGAACTTACCAGTCACATTCACTTTTCAATACGTCAATGACCCAAAACATAAGGCTTAAGATGTTCGTATGTGGCTCGCACATCATGTAAAGCATACTTTGCTTTGCTAAACCCTATCAAACATTTGTGGGAAGAATTGGATCGACGTGTAAAAAAACGAGCCTTATCCACAAAGGCCCAGCTGAGGGTGGCATTGGTGGAGGAGTGGCACAATATTGGTTAAGAAACTAGACAAAAACTTAGTTTATTATATGCCCAGGCGCTCGGAGGCAGTCATTAAGCATAAGGGCTTAGCCACAAAATATTATTTTTGTTTTAAAACGATTCTTTTATTTTTTCTGTTTATTTTTATCATTTTTGGTTAAGTGTGCCAATAATTTTTATCAAAAAAAAATCAGGTGTTTTTCCATAATTATATTTTTTATAATTACTAAAAAAGTGACACAAGAATGAACTTAAATTGGTTTTGTTGTAACTATCGATATATATGAATAAAATTAGTTTTGATTAAAAATATCTTAGTTTTTAGTGGAGAAAAGCTATGTTAAACTAAAAAGTAGTTTTTTTTCGCACAACAATTATTTGAACATTTTAAGAATTGCTTAAAAATCTTTGAAATTTTTTTAATATTTATTGGGTCCTCCCTTAGCATCAATCACATCTTGTAAACGTCGACTCATGCTATTTATTAGGTTACTCGTTTCATTAGCGCTATTTTGATCCCAATCTGTTTGCAACGACGCTTTCAAGGATTCCTACGAAAAAATGATGTGCTTCCTAATCCTTTTTCTTCAGGATATCTCATACATGTTCTATGGTATTTAAATATGGTGATTGGGGAGGTTTTTTTAAGCCACTCTTGTACTAAACACGAAGAATGTTTCGGATTGTTGTCTTGTTGAAACAAGAAAGTCATCGGATCTAGCCCAAGATTTAAAACGCTGGGAATCAAATTTTCGCTCAAAATATTCTTGTACATGGTCTTATGCATTTTATCGTTGATGAAGAAAATCTAGCTAACTCCAACCAAATTCATCGCCTTGATGGCTTAATTTGCTTTTCTCCAAACTTTAGAAGGGTCATCATGTGCGAGTATGTTTAATTTTGATGACATGCAGTTTTGAGTTCTCCAATCGTTTTTCTTTGTTGATAGCAGAAATAAATAGTTTTCAATGGGCAACGCCACCTGCCGGCCTTGTGCAGGTAGTTTCGAATGGTCTTGGCGCAAACTTTTTTTTGTGTTGCTTCCTCTAAATTTTTCCGAATTGTTGCAGATGTTCTCGCATTTTTCTGGACTATAGACACAAATTTCCGTTCCTCGTCAGGTGTCAGAATCTTAGGCTTTCCAGCTTTCCCGTGAATTGCAGCCACATCACCTGTGTTTAAGTATTTTTTGATCACTATTAATTATGGAAGGTGATTTCAAATTATACGACCGATTGGAATTTAACATGGATTTTCGCAAATCTAGTGACAAATCTGGACCCCGTCCCATTTTGTCTAAAAATTCAAGCATTGAAACTATCAGAAAAAATAAACAAAAAAAAGCCCAAGAAAACCAACTCCTAAGAACTTCCAAGAAAAGTACAAAAAAAAGTTGCCAAATACCGTTACATTCAGAAAAAGAACAATATAAATGAGAAACGTACGTGCATTTTAAGCACTTTTGTCGCTTTCCTTTTTATTTTTGAGGGTTATAAAAGAGGGTACAATTTTTTTGCTCTTTAAAAACATGACTGTTTCCATGATACGTACAAAAAAGTTGGTAAAATTACGAAAGTTACAAAAAATATGAAGTAAATAGAATAAATTTTGTGGTATCGTTTTAAAGTTATCAACGAAAAAGGAATAAAAAGCTCCAAAGCTTGTTTTAACCACTAACCATACAACATATAGACTGGTCATTTCATACGACGCATTTGGACACAAAAAAACGGACCGCGGAAGGTCCACCGTTCTCACAACAGCAGGTCCATGCACTTCGTGTGCGTTCGGGTTTTTTACTCTCTCATTCTTATTCTCATTTTTATGCTCGCGCACTCATTGCACGAGTTCCTACCACTGATTTGAATTTGTAAACAAAAATAAAATGTATGCTGAAATATTAAAAAAATATATTATAACATATAATATTAATATTTATATCATAACCCAATAGTAAATACGCCCATATTCTTAGGGTACCAAGTTTGAAAAGTTGCAAAAGACAAAATATTCTTGATGCGCCGAAATGAAATAAACGCACACATGCTCCCGTGTATGAGAATGCATGATCACGCATACATACAAAGACGAATTCAAGCGCAGGGCAGCCTTCTTCAAAAAGCGCCTCTCTGCGACTGAACGACTGAACTCGTGCAATGAGTGCGCGAGCATAAAAATGAGAATAAGAATGAGAGAGTAAAAAACCCGAACGCACACGAAGTGCATGGACCTGCTGTTGTGAGAACGGTGGACCTTTCGCGGTCCGTTTTTTTGTGTCCAAATGCGTCGTATGAAATGACCAGTCTATATGTTGTATGGTTAGTGTTTTAACCAAGTAACAAAGTCAACTTATAGATCAATATGATTTACAGTGGTTCTGAGATTTCCTGTTTTGGGATTGGCATTAGGCTTTGGCCAAATTTTGACATTTCCACCCTGCAGTACCGTTTACTAACTTTTAACTGATGGTTCATCGCCAAAAAATGCGGTGAAGAATTTCACACGTCCACTTTTTGTGGTAATTATTAATAACTTAAGATCGACATTTTTGGGATCTGTTATTATTATTATTATTAATATCGAGGTGTTAAGTGTACCGCGACCTGTAAGATCTATTGTACCCCCATTCAGAGCCTACAGCTCAGATATTAATCCAGTTCCTCGAATAAAGTCGAGGAGTTTTAGTGGGTTGATTCTTCCTAGGAGCTCAGGTGTAAGAGTTCTGGTTCCTAAGATTTTACATCTTATACTTGCCAAAGCCGGACAGTATGCGATGATGTGTTTAGAGGTTTTGTCCTCTTTTCAGTTTACAGTGCCCGGTTAATAATCCGGTAACGATCCTAAGTGAATTTTTCCCTAGTTGAATAAGTTCCTTGAACCTCTTCTTGTTGTAGTTATTTATTTGAGTTTTGGCTTGCCTTAGGCCTGGGGTATTCCTCCAGTGTTCTTGTCTCATGGCGCCTTCCACTTCCCTAAGGTATTCTTTTATAGTGTGCCTCCCTATGCCACAGTAGGGCTCTGGTCCTATCAGGGGCTGTTCGGCTCCTAGTTTTGCCATTTTATCGGCAAGTTCATTTCCGGATAAATCCTTATGTCCCGGAATCCATCTGAGGGCCAGCCTGTTTCGGCTGCCCAATATATTTAGCTTACTCTTCACCTCTAGGACTAGCTTCGAGGTGATTTTGTTACTATGTAAAGCAGTAATTGCTGCTAGGCTGTCAGAATGGATCGATATGTCCTTTTCCTTGTATCCACGCTGTATGTTGAGCTGTGCACAACGTCCAATGGCACATACCTCAGCTGGTATATTGGCCAAGGGATTCGTGGTATTTTATACGAGGCCCTACCACTTCAAGGCCTGTGCCTTGTTGTGTCAGGGATCCATCTGTGTACCTTGCTATGGTAGTGCAACCACTACCTGTGTCCTCAGTGCTTATTCTCAGGAGTGTAGCTTTACGTTGAATTTCAATTACACAGTGAAGTGGTGTTAGCTCCATCAGAATTTCTAAGGCAGTTGTAGGACAGGTCCTCATTGCCCCTGTCATGCATACGCAGGCAAGTCTTTGCAGCATTCCTAGCTGGTTTTGCATGCTGGTGAGCTTAGTTCGTTTACCCCATGCAAGTGCTCCGTATGTGAGGATTGGTCTCACGATCATTAAGTATAGCCATCGTATTATCTGAGGCCTGGTTCCCCAGGATTTCCGAGCAAATTTTCGACAGGTATAGAGTGCTCTGTAGCACTTTTCCAATGTCTTTTGGACATAGGAAGCGAAGTTCAGCTTACTATCCAAGGTGATTCCTAGATATTTAACCTCTCGGCTAGTTTCTATAGGAGTTCTTAGCAGTGAGATTTGTCTCATTCTCTGTAGTTTGTACTTCCTTGTGAAGGGAACGATGACTGTCTTAGCAGGATTTAAGTTGAGTCCAACCTCCCTGCA